GAAGTTGGAGCCTAATCCAACATGATGAAGATGTGGCCCTACTTTTTCCTCTATTAGGTGCAGGGACTTTGGTCTAATTCCTAGATTCTTTATCCACTTTGAGTTGAGTTTTGTGCATGGTGAGAGATAGGCATTTATTTTCATTTTGCTGCTTATGGATTTCTAGTTCTCTCAGCACCATTTGTTGAAGAGGCTATCTTCTGCATACACTTTTAACTCCCAAATCCAATTACTCTTTCAAGAATAGGAGATAATAGCCTGTTGAGAGTTGGTGAGTTGATGGTGGGTAGGGGTAAGTAGTCGGCAATTTTTAGAAGAAAGGGGATCTAATTTTGCAATTTGGAGCCTCTTCTTTTTTGATTTGAAAATGACTTATGTGTATGATTTTTTATTTCAGTGATGAAAATAAAGTATTTGCTATTGTACTCATGTGTCCTGGTTTCCAGGGCACTTGCAGTTTCAGAACATTATATCCTGTCGAAAAACTACAGACCGCAGTCATTTGGTTTAGAAAGGAAGGATTTCCAAAGAACCTAGATAATATTTTTAATGCCATGCCAATTACCATATCAACTAATTGCCCTTTAAATCAGAGTTAGAATTTGCAACTAAATGCTAGGGAGTTCCTTGAAATATTCTGGGTTTGTTAAACACCTAGCACTAAATTTTATTGCTACCCTAACTTCCACTTCTTGTTTGTTATATAATTCTTTATTGGACTGAATTTTAGACACACATTTCTTCATCGTCTATTTCCTGGAAGCCCAATTTTCTTCTTTGAGTTAACTGAAACTCACATTTGGGAGAGGCCAGTTCATGAAGGGTCTTGTGTGTCTAGGCAAGATGTACGGACATTATTTGGCATAGACTGGAAAGCCACTGAAGACAGGACCATATTGGTTTGTCAGAAGGCTTGCCTGGCAGCATGGTGGAAAAGGTTTTAGAAGCAGGTGGGATGGACTGATGATTTTTCTCTCCCCTTCTTCCCTTCATACTCCAAACTCACTGGGGAAAGCAAACTTATAATGGTTATTTTAATCTCAAGAAGAAACAGGGAGAAAGGAGTTTCCAAAACAAAGATATAACCAATGCTGAAACACAGTTCCTATGGAATTCTGCTGTCAGAACCCTGAGGTTTCTTTTTCATTGTTTACCAAACTGGCACCAGACACAGGGGCTCACCTTCACTGCCGCTTCAGTCTTTGCTTCTGGTGAGCAGGCTTCCTCATTAGCTGTTTGCTTACCTTCCCTGTAGGGAAGCTGGTCAGATATTGAGAGCCAGAGATTGGGACAGGCAATTTGTATTCTGAAGTGACAACCTTATATTTAAATTTTCTCTTGAAAGTTCTAAAATATACTCAAAAAGGATGATAGTATTATGAAACTTCCTTGTCATTCCATCACCCATGTTCAATAATTCGGAATATTTTGCCACACCCACTTTGTTACTGAATCTACTTTTAGCTGAAGTATTCTTTTCATTATTAATATTATTTTTGATTGAAAAAATCATAATTATATCAAATTATATAAGGGGTGTAATATGACATTCTGACATCTGTGCACAATGTGGAATGATTAAATCAAGCTAATTAACCTCATGTAGGTCACAATTTTGAAAAACAGTCTTGTCCATCTCATTAAATTAGTTGCTGTTATGGTTTAGATATGAAGTGTCCCCGCAAATCTCCATCATTTTGCTTACCTGCCATTTTTTATGGTGAAAACTTTGAAATTTACTCTCTTATTTTGCAATATAGAATAAATTATTATTGACTATAACCACTCTACTGTGCAACCGATTTCAAAGCCTATTTGTTATGATTTGGATATTAAATGTCTCCCCCAAAGCTCATGTGTTGAGGCTTTATCCCCATTGCAACACTGTTCAGTCTAGGTCCTTTTGGAGGTGATGGGATCGTGAGGGCTCTGACTTCATGAGTGGATTAATTAATTTATGGGTTCACATTTTAATGGGTTTTAGGGTGGGGCTTAATTATAAAACTGATCTCTCTCTCTCTTTTGCTTCTCAGGCACCAAGTGTTCCCTACCATGATGTTCTGCTTTGCCACAGGCCTTAACCCCATTTTTCAGTTTGTATTTGAGGTCATGTAGGTCACAATTTTGAAAAACAGTCTTGTCCATCTCATTGAATTAGTTGCTGTTATGGTTTAGATATGAAGTGTCCCCGCAAATCTCATGTGTGAGACAACACAGGAATTTTCAGAGGTGAAATAATTAGATTATGAGAGGTGTAACCTAATCAGTGAAATAGTCCATTGATGTAAATTAATTAAATGGTAACTGTGGGCAGGTACAGTATGGCTAGAGAAGGTGGACATTAAGGTATATACCCCTTTGGGGTATTTATTTTGCCCCTGGTGAGCAGAGCTCTCTCTGCTTCTGATTGTCATGTTCTGAGCTGTTTTTCTCCGCCATGATGTTCTGCATCACCTTAGGCCCAGAGATATGGAGTCGACCAACCATGGACTAAAACTCTGAAACCATGAGCTAAAATAAACTTTTCCTCCTCTACATTGTTCTTGTCAGGTCTTTTGTTCACAGCATTGACAAAGCCGACTAAAACAGTTACAATGTATGGTAGGTGAAATAATATGGCTAGGTCCTAATCTCTGAAACCTGTGAATGTTACTTTATATAAGCAGAAGAGACTTTGTAGATATGATTAAGTTCAGGATCTGGATGTGTGGACATTATCCTGATCCATAGGTGAGCACTAAATGCAATCACAAATGTCCTTATAAGGAGGCAGAGGGAGATTTGATACGGGAGACACAGGCCACCTGACAGAAGCAAAAGGAAACAGAGAGAAAATACTACACTTTTGACTTTTGAGACAGAATTGGGGCTGGGGATGTAGTAGAGCACTTACCCAAAGCTTGAGACTCTGGATTAGATCTCTAACACCTCCAAAAGGAAAAAACAAAGATGGAGGAAGGGACCATACACTAAAGAATACAAGTGACTCCCAGAAACTAGAGAGAGAAAGGAAAGGGATTTTCTCCTAGAATGACTACTCCTCTACACATTGATTTCATCTGAGTGAAAGTGATTTGAGACTTCTGGCCTCAGAATTTTGAGAGAGTAAATCTGTGTTGCTCTAAGTCACCACGCTAATAGGAATTTGGTATAGAAGTCATAGGAATCTAATACACCAACATTCAAAGATATTTATTAAGGTAGGAATTCCATTTTCTGTAGAAGATGAGATCCTTCAGGGGTCAGGCCTACTGGAGAGGCAACATAAACTGAAAAAAGAGCAGCGATGTGGGAACTGGATTCTAGACCCTGTTCTGCCAAAGACTTTGAGCCAAGTCACTTGTTTTTTCTGAGATTCAGTTTCCGTATACATAAAATCAAAAGAATGACTGGGATAAATTATCCTAGAGAGATTTTTAATCTCCTTATCTTGTTTTACCAGATGAAATCAAATAAGATGGATAAGGAAATAGGTTTAAAAAGGACACCAGATTCTCAACAGCCTTCTTAATAAGCCTGGGAGGGGCCTTTGGCTGGGAATATTCATTGAAAATTTATTTGGCCTCCACTGGGTGGACAGCTTTCAGATGAGCAGTTTCATTCAGTCTGCATAATGATCTTGATGATGTAGTTATTGGCACCTCTGTTGTGTTGGTGAAGAAATGAAAGGTTAGAGGAGATTTGGTTTTACTCAGGCTGACAAGGCTGAGCATAGGTTTGGATTAGGTTAGCTGGCACCAAAGGCCACTTGCGTGAGATGCTCTTCTCTTGAAGGGTAGCTTGAGGTGATGCAGTAGGGCATTCAAAACTTAGGGAAGGTGTCCAGTTGTGTCTCATCCTGAGTCCTCCTTTTTTTTTTTTTTTTTTAAATGTTGAATGTCGGTATTGTCTTGTTGGAGGAAAGAATAACTCATAACTTTCGTGCTGGAGACTGTTTTGGAAACTGTTCTGGGGCAGTTTAGGTGAACAGCTACTTCTCATCTACCACCCAGAGTCACTTTATGTGTGAGTTAGAGTTTAGAAAAATCTGAATTTGTGGTGTACTAGAAATATCTAACATGTACTTTGGTATTTATTTAAATCCAGAATTCTTTTCTCTGGGATCATGACCTTAATTCTTAGATTATGTTTTCAGTTAAAAAATGGGTTCATTTTTTTTATACACTCCCTATTCCCTAGGGAGCACATTTTATAAGTAAATACCCTTTTTATTTGAAACTTTCAATGGATTGTAGAAAGGAACACAAAAGAAAACAACTTTTTTATTGATTTAAAATGGGGATAATGATACTTACATTACATGAAGATTGAGTTTGTATATATAAAGCTCCATGCAAAGTAGTTTTGATTTTTATTGAAATAAAGGGAGTGCAAAGTATCACCTGGCTTAACTTAATGTCTTTTCTTTTTTTTTAACCTTTAAAATGAACCATTTATTAAATCAGACTGTTATTTCTTACAGTTATGTAAGTTACATGTATGTTTGATTCGGAGTATTTCACATGGAAAAATTTTAAACTCCTATAGGCAAGCAAAATTGTATTACACAATATGTAAGTGGGAAAGGAGTACTGCTAAACATTCAAATAAGGCAAGGATTTAAAACAATAAAATAATAATAAAAAATTTAAGCATTCCTTTAAGAGAATTCAACACTACAAGCTTAAATGTACTTTCTGCGTGTATTCATATATCAAGGCAGTGTTTCTTCTTTTAAAACATCAGGAAGTAGAATAAGGCTCATTAATATTACAGCTGCCCTCAAGATTTCAATCTCATTCGCTTTCTTTAAATTAAAATTCATGAAGTGCACAATTAAGATATATCAAAAAAACTGAATCTGCTACTCTAACAACAGCTGTCCATGCTTAATACTTAGTGGTTTGTTGGACCGAATTATGTCTTTTCAGGGAAAAAAAAATATAAGCCACTGTAAAACATTTGGTTTGAAATGTATGCTAATACTTTTCTTCAAAATCAAAAATTATGGAGGAAAAGGGTTATTTATTATAAGGAATAGAAAGCAAAACACTAGAATGACCAAACATTTTCAAAGAACAAGCACCACAAAGGACATTTGCATTCAGTTTGTAATATTTATCAATGCATTTTTCTTCTTCCAACCAATCTACTTCATCAAATTCTGAATCATCTTCTGAATCACTATATTCCACAGCAATAAGGCGAGACAGGATGGTGGCAACATCATTTTCAATGTGTTCATGCTTAGCTTCCTGTTCACGCTGCTCTTCTACTTTGCGTAGTTGAATACCTTTTCGTATTGCTTCCAGTAGTACACTCCTTGCGTCACTGATTACAGGTAGGGTTGATGGATGACGCTTTGGCTCAGAAGCAGGTATAACTTGTGATGGAGGAGATGGAGGCATTAATGGAACATAGGGACCTGGGGCAGTAGATGGTGTTGGATGTAGCCCAGAGGGAGGATGAGCAAGAGCTGCAACTGTGATAGGTGATGATGGTCGAATGCCAGGTGGAGGCAGAGGAGGTGGTGGTGGGGGTGGAGGCAGCCCCTGGACTTCACCTTGTGGGAGTGGATGAACTGGTACAATCTCACATACTGGGGCAGCTCTAGCTATTGGTGGAGAGGATTGTACTAGAGGCGGTGCAATTGGAGGAGGAGCTGGGTGAAGAACTCCAGGGGCAATCTGAAGAGGAGCTGGAGGTGGTGGTACAGCTGGAGCTTGCAAAGCAGTGGTTGGAGGTGGAGGTGGGGGAGGTACTGGAGGGGGAGGAGTGGAAGTCATTGAAGCTCTTAATGAAGAAGTTGACAAGGCATATGGAAGAGGTGGTGGAGGAGGTGGTGGAGTGAGGCTCACAAACATAGGTGTTCTGCCTGTGGCTGGTGACTGAGGGCCATTTTCTATCAAACCTGTAGCAGAACTGACACAGGTGGGTAAGGGTTTTGCATCTCCTGTTCCATGCATGGGTGGAGGCAGAGGTGGTTCATGTGGTCTGACTAAGACCCTTTCCTCAGCTCTAGTCAGAAGCTCACTCATCTGACTAAATGGCAAGGCAGAAAGTGAATAAGATCCATCCATATGATCCACGTAAGTCTGAGGTCTTGTTTCAAAATGAGAGGCTGGGCCATTAGCAACTTCAATATGCTTATGTAAGAGATTAGCATCATCTTCAGCCAGCTCTGGACCTTGGGCCAGCTTCTGCCATTCTCTCCTCCTGTCATGAGGTGCTCTTGACCCTTTTTCTGGTTCATGAGGACGATCTAGATTTTTCTGCTTCTGTTTCCTCTTTTCCTCCCTCTTGTCCTCTGTATCTTGCAACATTTTTTCTTTCCACAGATCAAAGAAATATGAAGGATTGGTATAAAACTTCAAACCTTCTTTACCATCATCTCTATAAGGAGTAAGTATGTTGAGAAGTGGAGGTTGTTCACAAACATCATATGTCTCTTGTAATGGAATAGGCAAAGTCTTGCGGTCGAAAAGCTGCTGATCTTGAATTGTAGAACTTCGGAAGGCTTTTCTCATTGTTATGTCCGGCAAAGACAATTCTTCTTCTTTAGGATCAAGCTGTGTAACACTAACAGATAAACGGTCCACGTGTTCTTGCAGTGAGTTAACTCTGAAGGAAAAACTATGTGCTTCATTGAATAATTCTCCAAATATATCTTCAGCATATTTACTTACACTACTTAGCTGTCTAATTATATTTGCCAAAGAAATATTGGTTACACATTCCAGTTCATTCTTTTTTTTTAAAAAATATTTATTTATGTATCTTTAGTTTTTTTTTTTAAATTTTAATGTTTATTTTTTAGTTTTCGGCAGACACAACATCTTTGTTTGTATGTGGTGCTGAGGATCGAACCCGCGCTGTACACATGCCAGGTGAGCGCGCTACCACTTGAGCCACATCCCCAGCCCAGTATCTTTAGTTTTTTAGGTGGATACATTAGCTTGTTTTTATGTGGTGCCGAGGATCAAACCCAGTGCCTCATGCATGCTAGGCGTGCACTCTACCACTGAGCCACCACTCCAGCCCCTCCAGTTCATTCTTAATGCCTCTAGGCAGTGCTGTGTGGCACAAGTGCCTAGGATCGATGTTTCTTTTCACTAACGGCATCTTGAGATAAACCTCTGTGCTAGTTCACCCATCATAGGGGGCGAATATCGCTCTTCCCCCTTTCCTGAGGCTCTGTGGTATTACCCAATCCTTAGTTTGGGGGAGGGGGACACTTAATGTCTTTTTTTTTTTTTTTTTAAATTTTTTATTGTTGGCTGTTCAAAACATTACATAGTTCTTGATATATCATATTTCACAATTTGATTCAAGTGGGTTATGAGCTCCCATTTTTACCCCAACTTAATGTCTTTTCAATGAAATTTATGTATACATTCTAGTGAAAAGAAATTTTGTTTTGATTACAAAAAGAAAATTATTTTACTAATTGTAAAGACTTTAGTTTTTATAATTAGTGTTGCTGAAACTGTAATCTCTGAGCATATATTTTGGGGTCCATGAGAATTGTGTACTTTAAAAGGGACCAATATGTTCCCTGAGGTTGAAACTTATTTAGTTTCTATCCTGTTTCCAGGATGACTTTGCATATATTATAATTGGCCAAGATGGACATGTGCATACATACACATACTCAGACACATACACTTTGGAACCAGTTGAGAGTACCTTACAGACATAATGTCTCTCTCTATCACTTTTACTTCAGTATATATTTCTAAAAACAAAGCTTTTTTCTTATATAAATATTGTGCAATTGTTAAAATCAGTGGTAGCTGGGGATGTATCTTAGTGGTAGAGCACTTGTGTAGCATGTGCAACAACAAATCAGTGGATTTTATATATAATCACTTATTTTTTAAAATTTATTTCTTATATACATGACAATAGTGGAGTGCATTAAATTCATAATTATCCATTCACAGCACAATTTTTCATAACTATATATAGAGTATGTTCACATCAAATTATGCCATTATACATGAGCTCTCTTATTTTTTTTGCATCACAATTCTTTTTTTTAATATTTATTTTTTAGTTTTTTAGGTGGACACAATATCTTTATTTTACATTTTATGTGGTGCTAAGGATCGAACCCAGTACCTCAATCATGGTAGGCAAACACCCTACCACTGAGCCACAATCCCAGCCCATCACAATTCTTAATACATCTTTATATCACAATTTATCATAACTCTGTTTGTATATAAAGTATGTTGACACCAAATTTACATCGTCACACATGTATTTTGTATAATGATGACCGTCTCCTTCCATCATCCTTGCTATTTATAATCACTTATATGATCAATAATGCAGTATCTTTTTAAAGACAGACCTATTTAAAATTTTCTAATTGTTTTACTAACATCATTTATATCAAAAGAAAAATGTTGTTAGTTTTGGTTTGGGTTTTGGGTTTTAATTCAGAACCCCCCTGCCCCTGCCACACACACATAGGCCATTTGTTTTGTAGAATTACTCTCAATTGGGTTTGCTCAATTTTGTTTCTTCATGATTTGGTTCATATAATATATCTGCCAGGAATACCACAGAAGTGATTTTTGAAACTTTTTAGTCCTTCAGATCAAGAATCAAATATTTATTACCAAAGTTATTTGGAAACTTTGATCTTGGAGTTTTTATGTCTAAATATGATCCCTTGGTTGGTCATGGGTTGCATATATTCCATTCTGTGGCTTGCCTTTTCATTCTTTTAATCTCTGTCATAGGACAGAAGTTTTTTTTATTTTGGTGTTGTCAATTTTATTATTACTTTTAGTTATGTTTTTTGTGTCCTATTTAATAAATGTTTCCTATTTCCAAAGATTATAAATATATTCTCTATAATCCTTTTTATAAAAAGTGTATGTTTTATTCACAAGCATGTTCCCAATTCTGTATAAAATGAAGAAAATTTGTAAGTAAATGGTGAAATTATAGAGTATCCATCCAATAGAAAATTATGTTCCCACTTAAAAAATCATGTTTTTGACATAAGAAAATGCTAACAACCAAAAAAAAAAAAAAAAACACTTAAAAATAATAGCATGTGTAATCTGGGATTTGAGCCAAACTTGGGGAAAATTGCAATGTTTTCAATATCCTTCTGTTTAAGAAGGTGGTATTTCTCTCCCTTATTCAGAATTTCTCATGTTTCTCAATGAAGTTTTATATGTTCTTTTTTCGAAAATTTTAAAATTTATTTTAATTAGTTATATTTGATAGTAGAATGCCTTTATTCACTTTGATATATCATACATAGATGGGATATAATTTCTCATTTTTCTGAGTGTACATGTTGCAAAATCATATTGGTCATGTAGTCACATGGGTTTAAATTAAAAAGCTTCTTCTCAGCAAAGGAAACACTTAATAATGTGAGGAGAGAGCCTACAGAATGGGAGAAAATCTTTACCACGTGCACCTCAGATAAAGCATTAATCTCTAGGATATATTAAGAACTCAAAAAACTTAATGCCCCCCCTCCAAATGACTTAATCAATAAATGGGCTAAGGAATTCAACAGACACTTCACAGAAAAAGAAATACAATTGATTAACAAATATATGAAAAAGTGTTCAACATCTCTAGCAATTAGAGAAATGCAAATCAAAACTACTCTAAGCTTTCATCTCACTCCTGTCAGAATGGCAATCATCAAGAATACAGGCAACAATAAATGTTGGCAAGGATGTGGTGCAAAAGGTACACTCACACATTGCTGGTAGGACTACAAATTGGTGCAATTCCTCAGAAAAAACTGGGAATGGAACCACTATTTGACCCAGCTATCCCACTCCTTGGTTTATGCCCAAAGGACTTAAAATCAGCATATTCTACAGCAGCCACATCAATGTTTATTGTAGCTCAATTACAATAGCTAGACTATGAAACCAACATAGGTGTCCCTCAATGGATGAATGGATAAAGAAAATGTGGTATATATATTCAATGGAATATTACTCAGTTTTAAAGGAGAGTGAAATTATGGCATCTGCCAGTAAATGGATGGAGCTGGAGAATATCATGCTAAGCAAAATAAGCCAATCCCACAAAACCAAAGGCCAAATGTTTTCTCTAATATGCTAATTCTTTAAGATAACGGGGGGGGGGGGCTTTAGGGAAGAATAACATTACCTTATATAATATTTTAAAAACTATTCTATTTTTATTCACATTTGGATCCACACTTCATCAGGAGTTAATTTTTCTGTATGGTGTGAGACAGGAGTTACATTGATTTTTCCATGTGGATATCAATTTTGCCAACATGATATGTAAATCATGTTCTTTGCTAACTGTAAGGAATTTTGGCCAGAAATCAAGTGTACATATAGGTATGGGCTGTTTTTGGACTTGCTATTTCATTTTATTATTCTATTTGTGTCAATATCACATTGTCTAAATTATCTTAGTTACTATGGTTTTATAATTCTTGATTTCTGGTACAGCAAATCACAGAAACTCTTCCTTCTTCAAGGCTATCTTGGATATGCTTGGCCCTTCATATTTTCATGTACATATTTTAGAATTATCTTGTTAATTTTTATACACATATGAAACTATTGGGATTTCTTCACATTTATTACATCAATTGAGGGAGAATTGACACCTTTATTGAATTTTCCAATTCACAAACACACAATCTCTCTATGTTTACTAGGTCATTTAAATTTCTCTCAGTAATGTTTTATAGTATTTTTGTTTTCTTTAACAATGTACTCATTTGTCTTTTAATTGAATCATTTGGTTCATTTGCATTAACACAATTCCTGGTATATTTGTGTTTAAATCTTAGTCTCTGCTTTCTATTTCCCCTTTGTTCTATGCTGTTTCTTTTCTTCTTAGCTTTTGATTTTAGATTTCCATTATCCCATTTCCCCCTCTGCTAGTTTGGTATTTTTGTCCCCTCTTACTGTTTCAGCGATTAGAGATCACCATACCCATTCTTGACTTACTAAAACCAGTTTCGCTAGTTGAGGCTGTGACTCATTGTTCCTCGCTGACATTCACAGTGGTGTGGGTTTCACTCCTATGAGAAGCTCATGTCAGTGCTTTATTAGCTTTGTCATTTTTCTCTTTTTACTTGGGTACAGCTGAACAACAATCTTATGGGTCCCTTAAAAGCAAAAGGGGAATAGTGGTGAGAGTGATGAGGTTGGAGATCAGGGGAGGTAACATCATGGAATCAAAGAAACTATTTTTGTTTTGGGGGGTTTTAGTGACATCACCTTTTTCCTTTGCTCCAGTTGTCTCTTCTAGAGTTTTGGTCTCTGGTACTTTGCCACTGACCTCCCTATAACCTTCCTTTCATCTCCACCCTTCCTGCTCTATCTCTTCTTTCTTTCTCTAGTTCTCTGGTAGTTTACAGGCTGCTATTAAAAAGTACTGCCAACTTGCTGGCTTGAAACAAACATTTTTTGCCTCATTTTTCTGGCCTAGAATTCTGAGATGAAGGGGTCATCAGGGAATGCTCCCTCTTACTTCTCTACAGGGGAATATTTCCTTTTCTCTTCCTATCTTCTAGTGGACTCCAGCAATCCTTAGCATTTCTTGGCTTGTAGACATATCATTCCAACTCCACTTCATCTTTATAGGATGTCCTTTCTTGTGTGTCACTGTGTTATCAGGTGACATTTTCCTCTTTGTATGTCTGTGTTTAAATTTCCTTCTTCTTATCAGGACACCAGTCATTGGATTAGGGCCCATCCTAATCCAATATGACCTCATTTTTAACTTGATTAGATCTGCAAGACCCTATCATCAAATAAGGTTGTATTTTGGAATTCTAGGTGGATGTGAAATTTGGGATCACAAAATTCAGCCAAGTGTTAACTCACTTACTCAGTATGGTACAGTACGAGTAGAACTGACCTGGAAGTTCAAGGTCCTAGTTACTAATTCTGCTATTAATTATGTGGATGCAAACTTTGTATTTTGAGAACAGGGGTTCAAATTTCATCTGTCACCTAACCTTACTCATCTGTAAACTAAGGATAATAATACCAATCCTTGTGGGACCTAGTGGCTTGCCCTGCACTGGTGATCCTGGCTGAGGCAGGAAGTTTGCTTGAGCCCAGGAATTCTAGGTCAATCTGAGCAACATAGGGAAACCGTGTCTCCTAATAAATAAACAACAAACAAAACTCTATCTTCCAGGTAGGACTGAAAAGAACACTCTTTTAAAATGTGTGGTTTAGTGCTTATTATGTGGTGTGGCTTAGTGCTTATTATGTGGTGGGTGCTTTACAAATGTTGGTTTTCTCTCACTCCCCCTTAGTTTCTTTGCAGTAAAATTAAGTTGATTTATTTTTGAGATCCTTCTAGCTTCAATGTTCTGATAGTTCCTTTAGGCAATTTCTTTCCCTCAATGAACCCTATCCATCTCTCTCATCTGTTTCCTCTTTAAAGCCTGACCTTTTCATCTCCGTGCCGGTCACCCTCATTCTCTCTCTAATCCTTTTCTCCCCACTTTTATTCCTCAGTTTATATCAATGGATATAAAAGCCCCAGTGTCATTAATAATGCTCCCTTCCACTTTCAAAGTTTTCTGGTTTGGATGATGAGTTATGTGATCGCTCTTCTTAGGAAGTTCTCATAGCACTTAGGTCTGCTTCTGTCATCACAACGAGTATTAAGTTATATTTTAATTGCTTTTTGGGTTTGTCTCCCTGGCAAGATTTATGGCCATCATTGGGAATGATTTTGTTTTGTTTCGTTTGTTTTGTTTCCTCAAAGTCCAGGACATACCTGGCACATACAGAGCAATGTTTGTTGAACATGTGAAGGTTTTTGAAAATTGGCTTCTTTTATTCTTTGCATAGTATCCATCTTTAAGTTGAAGTAGATGGCCGCCTTTTATGAAAATGTGAAATGAAACAGACAAGAATGCTGCTCCTCTTTCTGCCTTCCTTTATTTGTGGGCATTAGCTCAGAGATCTCATTTTACCTCCAGATTAGTGACTCACTTCTTCCTCTTGCTTCACCCGTAGCTATTTTAATTCTTTGAAAACTGGAGTTATCCTGTTCAAGACTGCAGCGGGGGCTGTGGTGACCTGCTTTCCAGATGTGGAGTGCCTGCTTTGGGCATGTGTGTCTCCGTGATTAAA